AGGGGTACTGGGTGGAGGGTGGCAAATGGGGAAAAATTGGGACAACTGTAATAGCATAATCAATAAAATATATTGAAAAAGAAAAGTTGGCATTTCAAATCAACAGAAGATATATATATATATATATATAAATTAATTTTTGAGATTGCAAAACTGGGAAGTCTTTTAAAATATATATTGGGTACCTTATCAAATTTGGTAATTTCTTAACAAAAATTCATTATCAAATGAATCAAATATTAAAATATTTAAAAAACCAAATGATAAAAGAAGAAAACATGGAATATGCTGTCCATAGAAATCTGTTTTAAATATAAAGACTCAAATAGGGTAAAAGTAAAAGAGATAGAAAAAGATAGATCATGCAAATGGCAATCATCAGAAAGCCAGAGTGACTGCATTAAGAGCAAGTGAGTGGACTTCAAGACAAGGTATATTGTGAGAGATAAGGAACAATTCTAGTGATAAAAGGGTTCATTTTTCAAGAAGAGGTAATAAGCTTGAATGACTATAATCCCAGTAACAATAATTCAAAACAAAGATTCGAATAAAGACAATGACATTAACAGCACCGAGAAGTCTTGAAGACTTAAGTAACAGTATTCACCCCTGAGCGCACTCTTCCATTTTTGTGTTCCTCCTAGGAAGTTAATTTGGTAGGCAAGGATCATATATTTTCATTCTTATATCATTCTTATATTCAAGTGCCTTGGATAGTGTTAGAAGACAAAATGAAAATTTTAATAGATCTAAAAACATTTGTCATGAAATTTGACAGTATGTAGTAAGCGTTTAAAAATGTTCATGTTCTTTGACTCATTAATTCATATCCTAGGCCTCCAGCCAAAGGAACCCATTTTTTAAAAAAAGCAAAGTTTTATGCCTAAAAACTTCACTGCAATGTTGCCTATAACAGTGAAAAAATGGGGCACAGGCTGGATGATCAACTACAGGGGTGGATGCATAAACTCCGTGACAGATCCAATGGGCTGGCATGTGAGATTGAAGAAAACACTTCCGAGGTGATGTTAACCTTTTTAACAGGAGGATCCGAAGTTCAATACAATATCAATTATCTATACATAGGTGTGCTTAGAGACACATCTGTAATAAAATAAAACAGAATGTTAACAATGTTTGCCTTTAGATGGGGAAGGGATCATGGGTTACTATAGTTGCATTCTTTATATTTTCTTAATTTTGGATATCAAAATTGTATTGGCTTGATAATTTTTTAAAAATCTAATAAATGTTGGAAAAAATTAAAATATCTGAATAAGCTAAAAGTAACACAATTCAATTTAACAGGTCTTTGTATAGAGCTCTGAATTTTTTTTAATGCAGAGATGATGTGACTTAGCAGAATCAAAGTCAAAAATTTCTGTTTATTAGCTTAACTTAGTTAACTGAATGGTGCAGATGCTTAGAAGAAATGCACATGCTGGTTTAATTAAGAGAGGCATGGCAGGTAGCACAAAGGAGGTGACGGGTCTTCTGGAGTAGATTCATGTGGGCCCCACAGGGGGGGGGGGGGGGGAGGGGGGGGTGGGGAGAGAGTTGGGGAGGGGGGGGGGGGAAGACGGGGGGGTGGAGGGTGCAGGAGGTGGCCGTGTTCTGTGTGGCCCTGGAGAGCAGAACTGGAACCACAGGGGGAAGCTATAGAAGGCAAATTTAGCTCTATGTAAGGAAAAACCCGACCAAGGTGAAAAATCTGCCTATTAAGAAATGAGTTGTTCGTGACTATGGGTATGCAAGTAGAATCTGCATCAGAAATATGAAGATAGAGCAAGGGAAAGGTAGAAGGGAGAACAAGACAAAGAGAAAAAGAGGGAAAGGAATAGAAAAGAGAGTCAGAGGCAGAAGCAAGGAGGAGGAAAGGTGAAGCAGAAGAAGAAACATTTTTGAGTGTTCGGTAAGTTGTGGCAAACACACTGTGGGGGGTCTGAGCTGCCTTTTCAGGTCTTCGTTGGCAGTATCTTGAAATGCCAGCAGATGGAGATATTACCCCAGGAAAGGAGGACTCTGCTCCCCCCGCCTCCCCGCCCCCATTTTTGATTTTCAAAATGTGTCAGGTTTTCCTCTTCTTAAAAAATGATGCTAAGAGACAACTCCAGAAGTCTCTGAACTTCCAAGCTAAATTTATAAACAAACATTTATTGTAAATTCTGCCTGTGACTACCTTGATTCTAATTTAGAAGAGGTCACTATAGCTTTTCGCATTTTGCTCACTGACTGAGTAGGGCTCCATCTTGCCCCATCCCACTTAGATGTACATGTACTTATATGTATATGATGTATATGTGTTTTGAGTTAAGTAACTAAACAACATAAGGGTGCACCAGTCCCCTTCTCTGCCATTAACCCTTTCCTTCCCCAGATAGAATCTCTGTCACTTTGAATTCTTGTCTGTGGTAATTCTGGGAGTCTTTGCTCTTATTCTACGTGTGGTGCTCCTCACTCTTCCACCCAGCTATAAAACAACCAATTCTGAGGACTTTCACAGACTTTGTCTGACGGGTAAAGTTGTATCTTTAAAAGGAAGCAGTCTTATACAGGAGTGCTTTCCCAACTTTGAAGTGTACACAGATCACCTAAGGATCTCGTTAAAGTGCAGATTCGGATTGAGAAGGTTTGATAGGGCTGGAGATTCTGCACTGCTTATCAGTTCCCAGGGCATGCCAATGCTCCTGGCCCGAGGACCTCACTTTGGCTAGCAGGGTCACACAGTGTGTCCCTCTGTCAGGAGGTGCCAGGACACTTCTCTCAAGAACTACAATTGACTCCTTGCAGGCACTGCTGTTTTCTTTGTCATCCCTTAACTTTGATTTAACTGTTCATATTTTCATTGAACCAATTAACATATACAGAGAGTCCACTATGTGTAAACCCAGTGCCAGTTCATTCTGGCCAACATTATTAAGCATCTTTGGGTTCCAGTCCCTATGCTAGGCGCCTAAGATTAGTGGTGATTCAGAAACCAGCTTGATGGGGTTCCCATTGGCCTAATGTGGGGAAATTTAAACATAAAAGTAAGTAATAATACTAACATATTCTAATCTATTGAAAAAAGTAGGAATCTGCAAGTTTATACTGAAATAAATAAGTGAATGAACTAGAAATGTGGTGAACAGGATATTTACTTAACCTCTAAATACCTGCCCACAAAATGCTCATTAATGACAAAGGGAAAAGAATAACTTTTTTGGTTGATACTACTTTACTTGAACCTGGTTGAAAACACTTTAATTAAGTGATCAAAATATAACCAGAAATGGGACAAACTGAAATTGTCCCTGATACGATACAGTGAGAACAGCCTCATATATGTGATATTCCTACCAAAGATACATAAGCACTTGGAAACCTTAGGCAGACCCAGATAAAGGGACAGTCTACAAAATAACTGGCCTGTAATCTTTTAAATTGTCAAAGTTATGAAAGTCAACGTAAGAGTGAGGAACTATTCCAGGTTGAAGGAGACAAAAGAGCTGTGGCAGCCCAGTGCAACATGTGATTCTGGACAGGATCTTTTTTCCTATAAAAATATTATTAGGCCCTGGCCAGTGTGGCTCAGTTGGTCGGAACATCGTCCCATAGACCTTTGGTCACAGGTTCAATCCCTGGTCAGGGCACATACCCAAGTTGCGGATTAATTCTTGATCAGGGTGCAGACTAATTAGTTGCAGACTAATTCTTCTCATATGAGAAGGCAAACAACCGATGTCTCTTTCTCTTTCTCTGTCTCTCTCTCTCCCCTTCTTCTGTATCTAAAAGCAATAAAAATGTCCTTGGGTGAGGATAAAAAATATTATTAGGACAGTTGGTGAACTTGAAGTATGATGATTACATGGTAATACATCAATATTAATTTTCTGATTTTGATGGCTGTGTGTAGTTATTTAGGGAACATCCCTGTCTGTAGGAAATACTATAGTCTTCAGGGGTGATGAGGCACTGACAACTTATTTTAAAAGGTTCAGGGAAAGGAGTTATTTGCCCTGTATTTGCCATGTTCTGTTTGAGACTGGGAAAAGCAAGACAAGTGCTCAAAGGGAGCTCTGGTATAGGGGTTATTTGAAGTATCCGGGGTATTCGCAGGAAAGGGATGAGTCTTAAAGGAGATTTGGAGTACAGAGTCAACCCGCATTTTTGTTGTTCTACAGTACCAGCTCTTTGACAGGGCACTGCGTCCTTCCATAAAGATCCTGCTTTGGGCCCTTCTCCAGCTTTGATAACTCCCCTTGTGGAGGTAGGTTTGAATCTGCAAGGACAATGGGACACGCCAATCAGATTGGCTACCCCACTTCTAGTCCACCGGAGAATCTCCTCTGCCCAAACATACTTGAGCCTCGAGCCTGCTAAGTGCCCCTTCCCTTCGCTCCCATCCATCCTCCCAGGGTTGATGGGGCCACCGATAAACGTCTAGGTCCGAGGAATGATCGTGGCTGAGAGCTATTTACAGCTTTGTGGACGAAGCTTGGACGTAAGGACTGGATGTCCACGAGTATGCATGGAGGCTCTATTGAGAACAACTGTCTGCCAGCTGCCACATGCAGTTGGGGCTCAAGGAGTGCCTGCCAGAAAATTCGAAATTTAAACCTGGCCTTCCAGGTCTTGGTAAGATATACTTGTCACCGTAGGAGATATAGATCATACTGTATCTAGACCGTGCTAAGCACGAAGAAACTCCAATGACTGTTAGGCAGAAACCGCACAGCTTGTAGAAGCTTTGGACCCTTGTCCCACAAAACCGTTATAGACGCTAGCGGAGCGCTGGGCCAATCAGGTGTGGCGCCTCCGAGAGGCAGGCGGAGGATGGGGCGTTGCAATGCGTGGAAACCACGCCTGTTCGCAGGGGGCGGGGCGGATGGTGGGCGGGGCAGGGTGGGCAGGGTTATCACCGCCTCAGAGTTCAGGGCAAGAGCTCGGAGGGGGCGGTGTCTTGCGGGAGCGGAACCACGCCTGCTTGTGCAGGGCGGTGCCCAGCGAGGCCACGCCTCTTCCGGGCCGCTGCGCTGTCTCCGCGTGTGGACCACTTTACAGGCGGTTGAGACTATTTTAACACTGGGCTTGGCTACTACAGAGGCGAAATGGCGGTGGAGGTGTTGCCGAGTGCGAAGTGGCTGTACTGTGGGGAGCCCGATGAAAGCCAGAGAGCTGTACTAGGTAATAACTGCGGAGCTGAAGCAGAGTTCCCCACCCATAACTACCCCTTCCGTCTCGGTAGCTTTACAGCCGTCTCGGTAGCTTTACAGCCGTCCCGCCCCGAGCCGGGTCCCTTTCCTAGCTGGGTCAAGACTATTCGCCCCTCTCACCGCCGCCCCCCCCCCGCCCAATTTAGTGTCCACCACTACTAGAGACTCCGCTAGAGATTCCTCTCCCTGTCGTTCCACCATCTTTCTTTTACTACCTCCCACCTGGATGAGGACATCCCCATCACCCTCTCCCCAAAGGATTTACCCAAGATTTTCTCATACCCTCACTCACCAGGTCTTAGACCTGTTCCATTCCCTCTCTTTAGATCTGAACGATGCCTCCGCAGTTGGTCACATTCCCTTAGTTATTCCCTCCTGTCGTGGCCCCTTCCCAGGACTCCCTTTACCTCCTCCTCCCCTCTTCCCAAGTGGGCCAGGATCTCCTTCAGTCCGCCTTCCAGTTGGGGACTTGAGCTTCCTTGCCATCCTCATTCCTTCAATCACTCCTTCCTGTTGACAGTCCACTTTCGCCTCACCATGCATTGTAATTCTTTCTGATCTCTTCTCATTCCTGGGCTGTGATCTTACAGTTCAGTTCTCCAATGGGAAACTGCAGAATCCAGGTAACCTGCGCTTTACCTTGTACAAGAGCAACGACTCCACAAATCCCAGGAAGAGGAGTCACCGGATCCTGGTAAGTGCTGCGGTGGCCAATTGCCTGCAGTCTGCAAGCCTCAGTAGACCGCTTGGATGTGGTGGATGTGGGAGGGAGTGAGAGGAGAAAGGGGGTTAGCAAATGATTCTTTGAAGAACAAGCACTTATTGAGCACCTACTGTGTGCCTGTGGTGTGCGCTGCTAGAGAAACAGCTAAATCAGACTTGGCCCCACTCTGTGGGAGCTTGTACTCTAGAGTGAGGTTTCTCCACCTTGGTACTATTGACATTTTGACCCAGATAAATCTTTGTTGTGGGGGCAGCCCTGTGCATCACAGGATGGTTAGCAGCTTCACTGGCCTCTATCAACTATTTACCAGTAGCACCTCCTAGTTGTGACAACCAGAATTTCAGATATTCTCAGATGCCCCTGGAAGGGGGATTTCCCTGGGTGAGAACCATTGCTCTAGAGAGTTCTTTGAGATTTTCCACAGTCTCAAACTTATAGAAACATTTCATGTGTGGTGCAAAGAACTCTACAGAGAGGAAAGAAGTAGATGAGAGGGACACTCACACAAATAGACAAAGCTCAGGGCCTGAGGGGGAGAGAGTACTAAGCAGAGTCCAAGTCTCTGCTTGCCAGAATGTCTTCCTGCAGAGGGCATGGAGCTGAATTTTGAAGGATGGAGGAGGGTTTGATAGCTGAGGCTTCATGTTCCAAGTGAAGAGGATAGCAAGGACACACGTAGGGAAACAGGAAAGTTGGGCCGTCGTTGAGGAGTGAAGCAGCCATTTCTGTGGTCCTAAGAGTGTATTAGGAGCAGTCATAGGAGAGGTGGGCAAAGAAGTTGAAAAAGGGCTTGGACTTCAGACCCAGGAGGTTGCCTGCAGGATCATTCTATTGCATGTCTGTCAGTGTGGGGAGCCCAGGGCCTCTCTCCCAAGCCCGGTGGTGCAGCTTCCCCAAGAGCTTTTTCAGACAAACTAGAAGCTAGCACTATCTGGGGCTTCCCTTTCTAAAGTCCTCTTGTCTTCCCCCCACGAGCACCCCAGATTCACTTAGTGGGGCTAGATGGTCTCCGAGAGGCTCTCTAGTTCTATCCACTGTGGTTTGGATTCTAAAGGTTTTTGCAGATGTGGAAAAGGGAAACAAGATGCTTAATACCTTTGAACATTTGTTGTAATGGAGCTTTTCTCCACATTTTAGGCAGCTGAAACAGACAGACTTTCCTACGTGGGAAACAATTTTGGGACTGGAGCCCTCAAATGCAACACTCTATGCAGGTAGGGACAGGGGAAGGGACAGCTGGAAGGGGAGGGGAGTGGTGGTGGCCCTGGCCCTGCTGTTCTCAGTCTTCAGAGGTAGTGGGGGAAACCTACAGAGGTTTATTACTGAGTCCCTGTGTTCCCAGACCCAGGGGCCTTCACACCAGCATGTAGACATTCTTGAAAAGAAAGTTGTCTTCCATTTGTTGAATTTCCTAAAAACCTCATTTATTTGTAGTATTCCTTAAGTTTTTAAAAAATTAAGATATAGCCCTTGGCTGATGTGGCTGAGTGGATTGAGCTCCGGCCTGAGGATTGAAAGGTTGCCGGGTTTCATTCCCAGTCAGGGCACGTGCCTGGGTTGCGGGCCAGGTCCTCAGCTGGGGGTGTGCGAGAGGCAGCTGATCAATGTTTCGCCCATTGATGTTTCTCTCCCCTTACTCCTTTCCCCTCTCTCTAAAAATAAATACATAAAACTTAAGAAATAATAAAAATATTAAGATATAATTGATATATAACATTATATGAGTTTCAGGAGTACAACATAATGATCAGGTATATGTGTAGTGAAATGGTCACCAAAATAAGTCTGGTTAACATCCATCACCATGCATAGTTACATACTTTTTTCTTGTGAGAACTTTTATGGTTTACTCTCTCAGCAACTTTGAAGCATTCAAGACAGTATTGTTAACTATAATCATCATACTGAACATTACTTCCCCAAAACTTATTTATAATCTTGTTTCCAAAGGCAGCTGTCTTAACTAATATGGAATGTATGATTAGCATTCCAAAACTTGCCAGAAGTTTACTTTAGGACTAAGCATAAGAAAAGGATTTGGTTGCATCAAAGGCTCTGGGGTTTTTATCCAGCTCCACTGCCCATTGCCTGACTGTGGGCGACCTTGCCCTTTACTAATCCTGGGTGTGTCTGCTGCCCCCCACCCTCCTTACAATGAAGATTGCCTAGGCTAAACAGTCTGTAACTGTCGGGGGCTGGCATACTGCGCACAGTGTTCCCATGATGGTATCCAACAACAGGGAATCAGAAGGCTTTTTCAGAGCCCCACAGGACCACCCGGATACAAGTCAGATTAATGAGTATATGCTTAAAACTATTAACACTGCATCAAAGATCTAATTCACACTGCTCTTCTTCTCATATTTACCAAGGCTTCTTTGTCTTTGCCTCCGTAAAATCTACGTGTGCAGTAAATTCCAGTGTAATTCTTCATTCGGACATCCCCAAAGGGTTTTTCCACTGTAGCAGTGAGCTCAGATGTGATCAGCTGCCAGAATCACGTGCAGCTTTATTTTTCAGAACCACATCATGTACCCTCCCCTCTCTCCATTCCCACTTTTTCCTCCTCCTGCTCAGAATTGCTGCTGCGGGATGGTTGTTTCTCCCCAGCAGGCGGTGCATTCCTCAGGTGTATTGGGGCCGAAAAAACTTTGAGAACCTCTGAGCCGGAAGTTGTATGAACAATACCATTTGAATAATCCATTGTCACTGGTATTATTTCTTCTTTACCCAGGCACTTTGTGGGAATTTTGAACAAGACCTCTGGCCAAATGGAAGTGTACGATGCTGAATTGTTCAACATGCAGCCACTGTTTTCAGGTAGGTCCCACCCAGTCAAGGCTCCCGGAAACGCCGCGTGCTTTAGGTTTGCTGGGTGAGTTGGTTTGTGGTTCTGATTTGTAAACACATTTTGTAGTTATTTTTAAAAGAGGGCCTTTCTGTCAGTATTTTTTCTTTTTATTTTTTAAAGGTTTTATTTATTTATTTTTAGAGAGAGGGGAAGGGAGGGAGGAAGAGAGGGAGAAAAAGCAACATTGATGTGCGAGAGAAACATCGATTGGTCGCCTCTCACATGCACCCTGACTGGGGACTGACCCCACAGCCCAGGTATGTGCCCCGACCGGGAATCAAACTGGCAACCCTTTGCTTTGTGGGCACAAGTTAAGAGTCGTGGATGCAGCAGAACATAGATAGATCCTGTCCCCACAGTGTTTACAGACTTGAGATGAGAAACTTGGTTAAAGTGTGTTGAGCAGTGATCTGAGCAGAATATTGAAGGGCATATCATTTTGATTGGAGGCCTTCCTTAATTCTTAACTGTTCTACTGGGATAGACGCTTTAGAGTCTCTGGTAGGTGCTGGAAGTTGCTTATATGTTAGACAGTAATCGTCATGTTGAAAAGTCCCTATACCTTCTAATTTGGGAGAAGATCCATTTTTCCCTAATCCAGTGGGAGAAGTTGCATTGCTTCTCTGCTTTGGCATTCAAAATGCTCAGGGCCAGAGTGGGGGCTTCCAAAATGGTAGATAAGAGGGTCAGGCTTCCAGGGGTCCTGTTCCCTAAATCTTAAATACTGAGAACCATGGTGGGGAAGGGTTTTAGGTAAGGATGTGGTCTTAGCATCATGGTGTATCTGCCTGGTATCTTCTGAGGCATTAGTTCTGACTTGATTCTCTCAGGGCATTGGTCCCACCTTTTTGAGAATCTGATAAGGACTTGGACCTACTTTCTGGAAACATAACATAATATACAAAAACATATATGAGATTTAGCATACAATTTTAAAGGGCTCTTGAGTCTCAAAGCCCATCAGTGAATTTCCTAGGGGACCACAGTCTCTAGGTTAACAATTCTTGGCTTTGCAAACAAATGTAACTACAGTTAAATTATCCTCCAAATTCTCTTCTAACTTTCAAGGAAGCAAAGAAAATTATTCATTAATTTGTTGACTAAACATATTTTTTATAAGTAGGAATTTTGTAAGTATTGCTTTACTATATCCATCGCATTGACCTGGGGCGTGTCATTTCATCTGGAGGCCTCATTCGTCCTTACTGGTGAAATGAAGAGGTTGGATCAGATGGCCCCTCCATTTGACTCCTTAATTCTCCAAATTCTCTAAGTGTGTATTAAAGCTACATAGTAAATGTTCAGTATATACTTACGTTAAACTGTGGGAAGTCCTGGAGTAAAGAAATCTGTTTTTCTTAGATTAACTCTTAAACAAATAAATACCAAACACTATTACTCTCTGTAGGACTTACAACAGTTTGCTTTTCTCCCCCGTTTTTGTTTTGTGTTTTGATAGATGAGTCAATTGAGAGCGAATTGACATTAGAGGATCAGAGCAAAACTTTCAGAGATAAGGTGAGTGTGATGGAACCAAGATGTGGGACCTTAAGCAAGTTCCTTCTAGGCCTTGGGTGAGGGCCTCTCCATCAGTAAAATGAGCTGGTTGAACCCATGGTTTCCTGGCTGCTCCCAGCTCGTTCATTCTGGGGTTGTCTAGACAGTTTCCTACTTGCGGAAGCCTCATCCGCCTCACAGAGAGCAGTTCACCTGTCTGGGGCAGCTCTGCTCAGCTCTGTAAATGTTTTGAACTGGTTCTCTGGGCTGATAGAGGTGTAGCGTACACTTGTTTTTAAGATTCAGTCCAAGTTTCAGAGAATATGGGTTGTAGCCTAGAAACTTTCATATTAAAACAAAGCAAACATGAGGATTTTTCAAAGTGGAATATTCTTACAAAGCTCATCTCACCCCACGATGGCAAATCGATTGCTTCAGTGCTGCCTGGGGCAGTGTGTTGAGAAGGAGCACGAGGCTGTCTTCCAGCTCAGAGGGAAAGAGGGAGTACTTTATCATCAATATCTGTTATGGGTGTAGGGTTGGAAAATGTTAAACTGTGTGCCAAAGATTTACCAACCCTTGGTTATAGTCAGGTCTTTACGTTTTGCAGACGGAGGCACTGTTGATTTGTAAATGGTCCATTACTGTTTACAAGGCAGGTTCTTCAGATCTGTTCATATCATTTTATTCTTACAAGCCTGTGAGGTAGATAGCTATAATTCAACCTAATGGATGGGTGAGGTAATGATGGCTGAGAGAGGTGGCAGCTAGGAGTAGTCGCCCAGCTAGGAGTAGCAGTGCCCAGCCTGACCCCAGAACCAAATTTGTCCCTTGCACAGATGGACTCCTGCATCGAAGCATTTGGTACCACCAAACAGAAGCGGGCTCTGAACTCCAGGAGAATGAACAGAGTGGGCAATGAATCTTTGAGTCACGCGGTAGCTAAAGCTGCAGAGAGCATTATTGATACAAAGGGTGTGACTGGTAAGTAGCTGGATGTTGGAGTAGGCGTCTGCTCACAGAGACAGCTTTCTCTTCTCTTGAGATCTTTAACTGGCCCCATAGATGGAAATGATTAAACTTATGGCTGGATTTCTTCCTGCCTCTTGCTGAGGGTCTTTGCAGGAACAGATTCTGGAAGCAGTAGGAAACATGTGACACGGCCTGTCCTCAGTGAGTTCACGGCCAAGTAGAGGAGGCAGGCAGGGAATGGGTGTGTGTGCACTGTGTTCTTGGCACCGAGGTTGCAGCCTGCAGGGCACGGAGGAGAGAGAATGCCCCGGTGTCTGCTTCAAGGGGAGGTTATGGTCCATGGGGCCAGTGTGATGAGCCGCTGAGCCTCTGGAGGCAGTGTGTCACTTCTGGGGACAGTAGCTCTTTTTCTGCTCCTAACCTCCCAAGAAGCTTGAGTGCTGAATTTTATTATTTTAAAATGTATTTATTGTTCAGATGCATTGTAAGAACATACAAGAAAGTTTATATGAACAGTTTTTTCCTATTAAAATGGAATTTTAGTAATTTTTAGAAAATCTTTCCATGCTCATATTTTCTTGTATTTTCATTCGGTACTTTTACAATTTTATTTTTACATCTAAATCTTAATGAAGAATTTTTTTGGCATATGGTACAGACCTGATTTTATGTTTTTCAAAACTTCATCTTTTCCTTTGTAAAAGGTAATTTAAAAAGTCAGGTTTATCTTCTTACCCCATTCTTAGCTGTGTTTTGTCCCGTTTTTCCAGCAGGCTTTTGATTATAGTAGCCTCATCACCCAGTTTATTGTCCGACAAGGCAACTTCATCCCCCTCCGGTCTTCTTATTTTTCACAAGGTCTTGGTTACTGTAACATGCTTTTCTTCTGGGTGACCTTAAAAATAATTTTGTCAAGTTCCCTCAAAATACAATTGGGATTACTATGGGAAGAATCAACGTCTTTACAATGTCATATTTTCTCATCCAGGAATATAGAAGTATGTCTCTGTTCATTTAGAAACATACTTTACCAAGTAAATTTTTGAATTTTTTGCTCAGTTTATTCTCAGGTATTAAAGGACATTTCAAAAGAAAAATAATTCACCCATTTTCTCATCATTCTGCCAAACCATTATAATTTTCCCATTTTCCTCTCTGTCTACATGCATATTTAATCTTACACGGTTATTCCTGTGTGGCAGTTACAGTTTTATAATTTGGTTTTTTTCACTCATAGTATGTGGAGAAAATCTCTGGAAGTTAAGACGTTAAAGGCTATTTTGAATATCCCTCACTTTTAGTTTCTCCTGTATTGCATTGTAAATATTTATTAGCAAACCTCGCTCCCAACTATACTGCAAGGTAGTCGAGGGGAGCCCCCGGTGGCTGCACCTTCTCTTGAGCCCGGTTAGGTTTGCGTCCTGAGTGGACACTGCAACACTGGAGCCATCCATCAGCCTGATGGGGACTTTGAGCCTCACTGGCGGGAGCATTCAGATTAGGGGTTTCTGGGCTGGTTATGATGTTGAGTGCACAGTTTGCAAAGAGTGTGGGGGAACCTGGAGCCAAATGGGGTGATACCCACACTGACTCTGTCTCTCTTGTGAAGCCCTGGTTGATGACGCCATGCGCGATAACTTGCAAGATGACTCCCTCTACCTCCCTCCCTGCCACGCTGATGCAGCCAAGCCTGAAGACGTGTATAAATTTGAAGACCGTATCCTTCTTGCAGTAGAAATGCTACCTTATTCACAAGTTGGGGTGTGTGCACACAAGCAGCACAGCCAGGCTCTCTGGGAGTCGGTAGTCCCAGGACACTTGCAGAAGCTACGTCCTGACCGTTGCAGTTGCCCAGCGCTGTTGCCGGGAAGGCAGCTGGGCTCCCTCACTAGTTGAGGGACCTGCTCCAGCACCAGAGTCTTAGCCCCTGCGATTCAAACCCATCCCTCAGCAAAATGCTGCATGACCACAGCTCCTCCCTGTGGGGGTCACTCTCCGTGAAGAGTCCAAATGTGACCAATGCCCAAAGTTTAGGACAGACTGATTTGTAAAAGGAAGGGTTGGAATGTAAAATGTCCCTACTTGGGGGTCTGATGAGATGGAAAATGCCTGCGGTGGCTTTGTGATAGACTGCAGAAAATCCCAGGTAGGGAACAGGGTCCGGGCTGGGAGTCGGGAGAGCCGGCCGAGTCACTGAGTGCTGTGTGACCTTCCCTGGTCAGCCTCAGCATTCCCGTCTCTGAAATGAGGCCACTAGGATGTGGTCTGACTCAGCAGTTTTCCGTCTTTTCCATCTCATGGCACACGTAAGCTAATTACTAAAATTCTGCAGCGCACCAAATGTATATTTTTTGCTGACCTCACAAAAAATAGGTATAGTTTTGATTGATAAATAATAGTAATTACCCACCCTTTTTGCTCCAAAGTGACTAAAAAAAAATCAGGTGCTTACTCTTGTATATAGGAGTTCTGGTACTAAAAATTAACCAATTGTAAATGGTAATGGAAAAAAATACAATAAAAATTACTGAAGAAAAAGAACCCATCAGACTCAACCTTATGCCATGTGACCTATTAGATGCAGCTCTATTATATGACCTATATATTTGTGGTTCCAGACAGACTGTTTATACCAGAGTTATTGTATTGGCTGTTATGTTTACACTTGACATGTAAAGGAAAGCAGTCAGTGTCCCTGACTAAATAGGTGTTGCATGCTTTAAAAATTTCTGTGGCACACTGGTTGAAAATCGCTGATCTAGTTAGTTAGATATTTCCTTTATTCTGATTCTGTTCTTAACCAGTAACCAGTTCTCTCCCCTGCGGAGTACGAGGCTCTTCAGAGCCCATCTGAAGCCTTCAGGAATGTCACGTCAGAAGACATACTGAAGATGGTTGAGGAGAACAGGTACCCACGTGGGTGGATGGCATGTCTGAGGGAGTAACTGGGGCGCAGCCGTCATCAGACGGGAAGCAGGCCTTTGGGGGTCAGTCATTAAGGATCACTGTCCAGCACTTGAACATGAATTAGCCAGTGTTTTCATAAAGGTCTGGGCTTCTAGACCTGACGTCCCAAAGCTGTGGGTGGCATTCAAGGGGCAGAGCTGGCCACTGAGCGCATGGCACCTGCGGCTGGGCAGATTGTGGCGAGGCCTTGTAGTGGGCTGGGAACTGCGGTGGACTGCGCCCCCAGGGCCGTGCTCAATGCCGACCTGCTGTGGGGCCCAGGTGCCGGCCCGAAAGTAGGTGCCCGCTGCACGTTTGACTTATCTGTGATGATGTGCTGGGGAGCTTTTCTTTTTAAACATGGAGCATTACATATTTTAGATAACTCATTATTCCCCTCCTTTTAAAATATTATTATTTTAATTCTTACCCAAGGATATGTTTATTGATTTTAGAGAGAGAGAGAGAGAGAGAGAGAAACTGATGTGGGAGAAAAACACTGATGATTGGCTCATATACATGCCTTAACCGGGGATTGAACCTGCAATCTTTTTGGTACATGGGACAGTGTTCCAACCAACTGAGCCACCTGGGCGGGGTGCCCTGTCTTTTTGTATACTTACTGATTTTAGAGAGAGGAAGTGGGGGGGAGAGAAACATTAATCTGTTTCTCGTATGCACCCAGACTGGTGATTGAACCTGCAACAACCTAGGTATGTGCCCTAATTGGGATCGAATCCGCAACTCAGATATGTGCCCTGACTGGTAATCGAACCTCCAACCTTCTGGTGGACAGGAGGAAACTCCAACCAACTGAACCATACTGGCCATGGTGCCCCATTGCTCCCTGCCCCCATTGCTTTTTTGGCCACTAAAATAGCTTTTCTTTTACAATGATAGTGGTATTTAAAAAATAATTTTATATTGAAAAAGTAAAAAATTGTCAACCACAGGTTAGTTTCCTGATTTTTATTTGGAAATTTTACTGGTCAGTGGAACCCAAGGCCTTGGAAAATACTTTTTTTTCCTCCAAAGATCCATTTCCCCATAACAGGCTCATTACTATTTCTTAGTTGTCTTAATGTGACTGTGGCCTAGAGTGCAGGGACGAGCTCTGGGCTGGGAGCCTGGAGAACTGAGTTTTGGAACTCTGCAAATATACTGTGTGATCTTCCCCGATCCGAGGCTCAGCTTTTCTGTCTGCGAAATGAGGCAGCTGCACATGATCTCAAAGAGCCTTTTTATCTCCTCGAGTCCAGGTTCCTGGCAGTGGTAGAAAGTGCGTTGGAAACAATAGCTCACGTTGATCCAGCTCTTAGGTGCCAAGCACCGTTCTAAGCACTTGACTTGTATTGTCTTTTTTAACTAAAAAAAAACCCAAAACCTCAGAGGAGGAGGGTATTATTATTGGCCTCACTTTATGGGTAAAGATGATGTACAGGCTGTTCAGATGTTGCCCAAGCCACCAGCTGGCAGAGAGGGAGTTCAGTCCAGGCAGCCTGACTTGAAGGCCTGTGCTTCAGACCACTGCATCTGGGTTTGACAGAACCCGTGGAGCCTCCTGCTTAGTCTGGCCTGGTGCCCGTGGATGAAGTTTTATTGGAACATGGCTATGGTCATTCATTTTTTGTATTGTCGGCTACTTTTGCACACAAAGGCAGATTTGAGCAGTTGCAGCAGAGACCAGATAGCCCACGAGGCCTAAAATATTTGCTGTGCTAGCCACTCACGGCCCCTGCACTAAACTGTGCCCCCTCTGTTAGGAGCAGCGCTGGCGGGTGCCCTTCCTCAGCCATCAGGTTTGCACGCGGTGTGAGGGTGCTCCTGTTCTGACTGTGCCGGGGTGAATGGCTTCCGACGAAGTGGCCTTACCCAACCCATTCTTCCCTTTCCCACCCTTGTTTTAGCCACTGCTCCTTTGTCATAGAAGCGTTGAAGTCTTTGCCATCAAATGAGGAGAGCCGAGACCACCAGGCCCGGTGCATATGGTTTCTGGACACACTCATCAAATTCCGAGCACAGAAAGTGATTAAGCGGAAAAGTAAGTTCGTGATAGACATTTGATTCTAGTTATTTCCAGACCATTATTTGCCCATAATTCTTAGCTGTAATGAGAGAAGAAAATGAGTGTGCGAGGTCAGGTCTTCATTTTAAACCTTGTAACAGTGAGGTGCTCATTGGTACTGCCAACGTGCTGAGAGGACTCGCCAGGCTCTTTGCTCATTTGCACCGGGGGACAGGCGGGATCGTGTGATTGTTCAGAGTTAACATTCCCTTCCGATCTGCACTGGGCAATGTGCAGTATCCAAACGAGATGAAAATTGTAAGGGACTGTGAGACAAATGTCAGTTGCAGAGGAAGAAAAGTTGGCCTTGCTCATGAAGGCTCGTGACTGGTGTGTGTTCTATCAGCTGGTTTCTGACTGAGAGGGGATACAGCCAGTTTCTTTTGGTCACCCCAAGGTCACCTACTGCCAGAGCATGGCTGCCACATCCATCCACCCAGAGTCAGAAAGCCAGCGGGAGAGCCCTGGGGTTTTAGCTGCAAGGTGTACGCAGTTTTGTACCGTGATTGGACACCCGCAAGGCTATGCTTTTCAGTACTTGCTTAATTCTTATTTTCATATCCTGATTGCTCCTGCTTTCTCTCTCCCTGGGCTTTCTCCACATTCTGTTTTGCATTTCTAACATCTTATGAATTCTGTGTCTTTAGCACTCATTGTAGTGTACTTTTCTTTCTTGTCGCCTCATCATAAATGTCTCTCAGCCAGTTTTATTTGAAATGAGCATACTTTTTTCAAAGGAGGCCATCTTGTTCCATGGGCCCCTGCTTCTCCTGCCATGTGGTTTTGTTTGTAACACCAGCCCAAACATTGGCCTCTTCTCCCAGCTCATGGGTGACACACGGCCTGAGGGCTTTGACAGAAGGTGACCAAACCTAACTTTGTGTTGTAGGTGCTCTGGGGCCTGGCGTTCCACACATCATCAACACCAAACTGCTGAAGCACTTCACCTGCTTGACTTACAACAATGGCAGGTCAGGGGCGCAGTTTCTCTGGCTTCTGCTTGAAAAGGAGAAAGCAGGTTGGGAGAGTGGGGAGTGTGGGGAGTGGGAGCGTGGGATGAATGCTGTGCCCAGAGCTGCTGTGCCGAAGGGAGCACTTCCCTTGGGAGTGGTCCTGGGGTCAAGTTCAGGAAATGCGACACAGTCCTTGCTGTCTTCCCCTTGGGGTGTTCAGCAGCGAAGACCCCTCACTTGACTGTCTCTTTTTGGAGGAGTCACTTCCTCACGTGCCCCCACAGAATTGGTGTTCTGTGAAAAGGCAAGTTGTAGGAAAGGGCAGGCATGTGTGGTGATTTGGGGGGCAACACCTGGGTTTACTTCTTGCCATTTGCTTGGAATGTGTTTCCTGCTCCGAGTGTGTTTGGAAGAATCAGCAGCACCTGAGGTGTGGGGTGACCACTCTCCCGGCGTCCCTGCCGAGCAGGCAGGGACGGGCTGGAGGGTCCTCACCAGTGTGGGCTTCGCCCTCCCACGTGGAGGGAGCCCTGGGATTGGCTCACGTCCTCTGTGTGATGGCGCCGGTGCCTTGAAGGACGAGGAGTTGCTTGAATTCCTCTTCCCCTCCCCAAGATGGGAAGATGTTGAGTCCCTCTGGGAATAGGTTTAGATGTTTTTATTTTGCTTTTGAAGCAATCATTTAGAATTGTTTTGTGTCTTCTTTATTGCCACTGATTTTGCAGTTTACGCAACTTAATTTCCGATTCTATGAAGGCAAAGATCATCGCGTATGTGATCATACTCGCCTTGCACATAAATGACTTCCAGATCGACCTGACCGTGTTACAGAGGGACTTGAAGCTCAGTGAGAAAAGGTGAGCACAACAGAATACAAGCCTCCTTGCTGTGTTTCTAGTACTGCTGGGAAGCAAGAGGCTCCATCAAGAGAACTGGGGACGTTTCATAGGGGAAAGACCTGGGGCCAGCGGACGGCCTTCAGTGAGTGAGCAGCTGGACATGACGGGCTGCCGGGTCCCTGTGCCAGGCATGGATTTAACACTGTCATACTGCTGGGTTGGCCAGAAAGTCCATCTGGTTTTCCCGTAAAGTAAAAGACACAGTTTTCATTTTCACCAATAACTGTATTGATTTGGATATGTTGAGTATGTCAGCTATTTCCCGTATGGTATAATGTTGATTGTTTTCAGTTAATGTCTCAGTTTGATCACAGTCAACTTCAGCTGGTCAGCCTGACTGGAGCATCGTCCAGTGAGAAATCTCCAGCACGAAACTTTGCAAACCCATTTTGACACATCAATCAGTCACAGCACCTGCTTCACACACTGCACAAATCTTTTTTTGTTTCAGTTGTGTTTTTACCTTTTTACATTTTTTAAATTTATTTATTTTTAGAGAGAGGGGAAGAAAGGGAGAGAGAGAGGGAGAGAAACATCTATGTGTGGTTGCTTCTCACGCATTCCCAACCAGGGACCTGTCCTGCAATCCAGGCATGTGCCCTGACTAGGAATCAAATTGGCAACCCCTTGGTTTGCAGGCTGGCATTCAATCCACTGAGCCACACCAGCCAGGGCTTTACCTTTCTTGAAATGATAAAGCATAATATGCTGAAAATGTTGCGTATTTTCTTCCATTCTCAGTATTAAAATGGCTGCACAGAAACCCACCAATGTTGATGTTTTTTTAAATGCACACTGATATGACAGCTGTCACAATACAGTCTAGCACAGTTGTTTCAAATGAGGTTAAAGACAGCTAAGCTAAGTGCTACTGGGAAGAAAACCAAATGAACTTTTTGGCCAACCCAACATCTCAATGATTTCCCTGAAAAACAAAGAATCTACAGTTCAGAGAAGTCACTCACTTTCCCGAGGTTGCACAACCAAGAAGAGGAGTAGTTGGGCTTCAGACCAGAGCCTTCCCATAGCAACTTGTCCCTGTGTGACCAGGCAGGCCTCAGTCTCCATGTACCTTTCTCCGGGGAGAGAGATTCTCTGGTTCTCAGGGGTGGAACCCAGGGGTAGAGGTCCTAAGAACCCAGTTTCAGCTTAGCAAAAAGACCTTCCCCAGAGTCTGAGGGAAGGGGCTGTCAGATGCTGGGGCTGCTGTTTGGCAGGATCGTCACTTGGGGGCCTCTCTGACCAGACTGGGAGAGTTGGCAAATGTGGCCCTTCTGGCCCTTTCTAGCTTTGCTAGAAAGGATTCAGACCGAGTAGGGGGCAGAACTCCCCTGCATCCTAAACATTGGTTCCTTCGGTCTTTGTCAGTGATGTAGGGACATCTGACACCCAAGGACCCCGATGCTCCAGAGCGCCAGTGAAACAGCTGTGTCTGGACTCACCCACATGGGGTTACTCCGAGGGCAGGTCCCGCATGGCACTCTCGCAGGCAGGGATGCTGTAAGTCAGAGAAGATACTCGGAGCCTGTTCTAGCAAACTTCTAGCAAGCGTTCATCCTGGTTATAGGGAGTAAACAAAGTTTATTAATAGGATCCAGGTAGATAACCTGGTTTGTAATCACCTACAAGGGTATTTTTCAGTGGCAGCTCATTAAATGAAATTGTCTGATGGCTCTATGGGGAATCTTGTCTGTCTCTCTCCTGGTGGCCACTTTGGGGACTCTGTTTTTGTGGCCGGGAGCATGACTTGTGCCACCGCCCTCCTGCCAGCCTGCCCTGAGCGGTGACATTGAGGAGACTCTCTGTTTGTTTCGTGTGTTTGTTCCTCAGGATGATGGAGATTGCCAAGGCCATGAGGCTGAAGATCTCTAAAAGAAAGGTGTCTCTGGCAGCCGGCGGGGAGGAGCAGCACAGACTGGGCACCCTGTGCGTCCCGCTGCCGCCAGCCCAGTCGGATCACCAGTCCAAGCGGAGGAGAATGACGTAGAGGTGTGCTTTCTGGACCGAGCAGCTCGGCCACACCGTAGCCACTGCTTCTGTTCATTTTCACTTTTAAAAAGAGAGGAAAAGAAGCCCCGCTTTGACATGGGTATGAAGCCACAAGCTGGTATCTCAGTGGTGCTTAAGCAAGAACATCAAACGACTGCCACATTGGACTTTGTCTCCGTCCTTCCGTGTTGGAACTATAAATGGCAGCTGGTTCTCGTGTTGGTTCACGTGTGGTGATGTGGGAGGTGGGGACTGGGAAGCTGGAGCCAAAAGATCTCACAGGCTGAACCCTGGGCCACATCTAACAGATTCAGGTTAATAAAGAGAAATGTGAAGTACCATGCTTAGGTCTTGGAGCGCCAGTGGAGTACATGGTGAGGAGGAGACAGCCCAGCGGGGCTGAAAGAGGAAGCCTCGGGTCACCAGGGTTGTGGAGGTGCCAAAACAGGCGGACTGGGTGGAGGCTGCTGTAACAGGGTGGGGGCCTTGCCTTAGCAGGGGGAGCCAGCAGCCCAGTTGCTCTGGCTCAGGCCATGTAGGGGTAAGGGTTAGTTCTGAAGCCACAGCTGTGAGGGGGTAAATCAGAATTCATCACAGAAAACAAGTTGTACTAGATATCCTAAGAAGAAAGGAGTTGAATTCGTGGATAAAATGGAAAGTTGGTGAAGGGCCAGAGGGAGGGAAGCGGAAGGTTGCCCCCAAAGTGCCCAGTCCAAGAACGCACCGCTGGGGTTGCCATCCGGGCGTCGAGAGGCCACTCCTGCCCCACAGCTGCTTGAACTCATGAGCTGGTGACAACACTGAGTTCCGCCACCAACGCTTTTAATACCCACCTTTACACCCCCTCGCTTATCAGCATAAACCACCAAAAGATCAAGAAGCTGGCTTCCATCTTGCTGCTTTCTTCTGTGAGTAGGTGAGCAGGAACTGAATTTGCACCTAGAACCTTAGCAGCAAGGGAGTCTTGAAAATAGGTGTCAGCTCTCCAGCATCTAGTCAGAGGAAGGCATACCTGCAGGAGATGCAACTGGGTGCCGACCAGCAACAAACCTTACCTGCCACGGGGAGATGGAGAAGTCGGGTGCCACGAGGAATGGGGATGGGACACGCAGAGACGAAGGTACGTGGCTGACGCTTGGATCTCAGGGCTGCTCTGGGAGCAGCTGAGGTTTTGGTGCTCAGTGCTGGGGAGTGGGGAGCAGTGACGGGAGATAGAATTCATCTCTGAAAACGGAGGACAGCGTTTGTGCAGCCGCTGGACCATCCATCAGGGAAGGTGTGGTGGAAATACATCTTAGATGGCTCACTTGGGGGGCACTTGTGTTGACTTCTTCGCGCTCTGGGGTGCTGTTAGCGCCTAAAGTGTTTTATGTCCGTGCTCGTCTCTGGTGTGTCTCATTTGTCTCTCATCCTGGGTAATGGGAGTTTGTAGCCTCTCTTGTCTCCTTCCAGCAGAGGTGTGAGCAGGAAATCTAAACGCCTCATTCTTTTTATCTAAGCTGTTGTGAAAATCAAGTATGTGACTCTGCATCAGAAAAAATAATATCCTGATCTGCCTCCCAGAAGAGAACTAATGTGCTTATAGGGTGGAGTGTGATTTCATGAATGCTTTTTAGGTTCTGATGGGTTCGACTTTGGATTTCCAGGATGATTGGGTCACTGCGGGGGAGCAGGTGTATTGATAGGGGAGAGTGGAGGCTGGCCAGTGCTTGTCCTGGGTGACAACCGGTCACCCACGAGCTGGGGGTACACCATCTACACCCCACTAAATGCAGGTGGTGTACCCCCAGAGGCTGACCAAAAAGCACACTTCTCTACATCAGGGGGTTTGTGGTTCACAAGGTTCACGAGGGTCCTCGTTCTGCTCAAACCAGTCTCGGTGAAAGCTTGCGCGGCGCCTGACGTGGAAGCAGGCGGTGGATGTCGGATGAGTACGTAGCATGTGCGTGACCTGCACCTTCTTTCCTTGGCAGGGCCGTTAGGAGGTGAACACTGCAGAATACTGTAACTGTATTTTCTTTATAGCTCCAAAAAACATCTGTTCACCAATACATTCACAGTGAACAACCTGATCTCACCAAGTTGTTTTGCCTTAAGGCCTCCTGCCGTCCTCTTTGAGGAAAGGGGGACCGTGGGCTAGAAACTGGTGCCCTTGACAAGATTTGCGGTTTGTGGAGGAATCCTGATTCACAGGAGTTGGTTAACTGGAGTCTCTTCCCTGGGGGAGGAGATCTTTGCCTGTGGCCCTCACCTATCGTACCTTGCTAACAGTGGTGAGGTCCAGGCCCCCAGCCTGGACACTGCTGATTAGATGAGATTCTGCAGTGTCTTCTCTACTTGACAAAGCATCCTGTCCTTTTATTTACTAGCCCTTTAGTGTGTATGTCTTAAGAATAAGGACTCTCTCTTCCGTAACCACAGTACATTTATCAAAAGCAGGAAGACACAACCCTGTCATCTGGCCCACAGGGGACGCTTGAATTTTGCCAGTCACACCTCTTTGGTCTCCTTTCATCTGAAACAGTTAGTTCCTCGGCGTTTGATTTTTTTTTACTGTGATGTTTGGAAGAATAAAGCTGATTATTTTGTAGCGCATCCCTCAGTTTGGGTCTGTCTGGTGTTTCGTTATGATTAGATTCAGGGTCTGCCTCTTTTGGCAGGAACGTCACAGACAGGCTGTGTCCCGGTGCATCACAGCAGAAGCACGTGACGCTGGCTTGTCCTACTGTCGCCGCCGACGTTAACTTTCCTTACTTGGTAAAGGTTGTGTTCTTCCTGCTGTGAAGCTGCTATTTTTCTTTTCACAACGACGTTCGTTTGTGGAGGGGTTACTTGGGGACTCTAATATCCTGTCCTCGTGAAACGTCCCCCCGTGAGTTTTAGTCTCGATCGAGGGTTCTCTTGGCTCCATTACCCAGATGGTTGCAGAATGGTGATTTTTTTTAACTCCATCTGTAAAATACACTTACTGGCATTCTATTATAAGGGGATGCCTTTTCTCTCCCGTTAAATGTTTTTGTTCATTTAGTTAGCAGCATGGACTCATAGATTCTTATTCTGTGAACATTGTTACTGTCGTTTATTTTGATGCTCAGGTGGAACCACATTTGGACAGTCTGAGTTCACTCAAGCTAGCTCCTATACCCCTATCATTGTGAGGGTTCTGCCTTATTTTCTGGTGCAAGGTATTCCAGCCATCTTGTACCTTTCCTGCTCTGGCCCTGGAATCAACTCTGTATCCAAGGAACCCAGGCAGATGACGGGAATGATGGGCGGAGACCAAGAAGCAAAATACCATCCTGATAATCAGCCGGGGTCCCAGCTGCACTCAGACGGAAGAGGGTTCACCTCTCACAGAGGTGACAGCTGTGTTGTGAGAAGCTCGGACTGCACTGGGGGCTCTCGTGAATATTTTAAAGGTTTTCATGCACACGAGAAAACAGTAGCTTTTCATTTATAGTAGGGATATCAACATTTCTTTTTAGTTCAGCAAAGTTAAATTTCCTGGATAGGATCCTGGGATGGAAAAAGGACATTAGGTAACAGCTAAGGAAATCTGAATAAACCATGGACTTTTAATAATGCATCAGTATTGGTTCATTCAATGTACCACACCAGTGTAGAGTGTTAGGGAAACCCAGCGGGGAGGGTAATGTGGGAACTCTGTTCTACCTATCTGCTTGCTTTTTCTGTAAATTTAAAACTCCTGAAAAAGTCTATTTTAAAAAAGGATTTAAAGAAAGATATTAAGTACTAACTTTCTCCTCTGGTGACACGTGGATACGGCAGAAACTGATCCATGGGTTCATGGATCTGAGAGCCCTCTGCAGACTGTCGCTGCTCTTCACAAAGCCCACGGGGCCGGCAGGACTGCAAGTCTGTCCCTGACCGACACACCAGGAGACAGACCTCGGAACCTGGAATTGGGGCGGGAACAAGCTGAACCGACAAGATGGTCCAGGAACTCCGTCTCCCAGAGGAAGCTGTGGGGCCCCCACAAGGCGGGGGGTGCAGGGCCTGCGTGCAGGCACCTGGGAACTCCAGCACACATCCAACCAAAGAAGGTCCCCCAAAGTGCCTCTTTTAAAATATAGAACTTTATTTTAGTTGCTGAGATTTTCATAAGCACTTGGTTCACAAAAAAGTCATTTCTTATAATAAAGGCAGCATTTTTGTACAGCAACTCACATTGGGGCCACCAGAGAAGTGCAAAGGGCAGTGTGGGGACAGGAGAAGCCAGCATTCTTGTGCCCAAAGTCCTCAAGAAGCCAGTGCTCCTGGCTCCCTGCAACCCCCTCCCACCCAGCCTGGGAGAGCAGCACCCAGGGCCCAGCAGAAGCAGCTGGGAAGCCATCGGTGAGGTGCAGGATGGCAACCCCAACAGGCTGGTGAAGGCCCTGCATTAAAGGCTGAGTAGGAGGGGGACTGTTCAGGCAGAGGGGCCCTGCATCCAAGCCCCTCCCCGAGCAGCCAGGGCAGGGTGTGAGCCTGCCTGGAACCTTGGACATACACTCACTCTACGGTACAGTAAAGCCCTTTGGGAACTGGGGGCGCCGCCAGTGAGACGGGCCCCCACGTGGGTGAGTGCGACAGGTACGAACCTGGGTGGCTCCAGGGCAGAAAGTGCTTAGTACCTGACGGGGCAGAGACAGCAGGGGTGGCTCAGAGTGGGAAGAGCATTGTCATCTGCAGGAGAAAGGGCCCCGTGGAGGTGGCAGTGTCTGAGCTGCACTTGAACGAGCAGAACCTGGACATGGGCAGGTGCAGAGAAGGGCGTGCCAGGAAGACGAAGAGCGTGAGCCAAGGCACAGAGTGGACACCACGAGGGTCAGTAAAGGCAGGTGGCTGCCCATGACAGAGCATGGACACAGACAAGGGGCTCAGCACCTGCATCTCCACCAGCCTGCTGCCCGGGAGCGGCAGCTGGTGTGGGTGTGCTTGTGGGACGTGAACCCTCCTTGTGCGACAGGCACTGAGCGAACATCCTCCTGGGTCCGGGAGCTCCGTGAAGGTAGAATGCAGTTGTGTGCGTCCCCGCATCGCCCAGCCTGGCTCCTGAGCCACGCGAAGAAGCCTTCTCCACATGCCCCTCCGGTTTTCGACATGTCCCTTGTCATCTCTAGGTCAGCCTTTTAAGAGGGGCTCCCAGAGCCAAGCCCCTTCCTCCCACACAGATCCATGTCTAGAACTATATCCTTGAGGAAACCAAACTCAACTCCTCCAGCCTCTGCAGGCAGCTGGGGGTGGCGGGGTGGGGGTGGGTGGTCCTGAGAAGGGGGCCTAGGAAAGCAGTAAATTCTGGGGCAGCTCTTTCCAACTCACTGGAATTACTTCCCTCT